ATCATGAAGTTCATATACATAAATAAAAGGAAATAATCACTGGGTATGAGACCAGATGACCCAGGAGGCCATTCCACAGCATCATTGAGGGGAAATCACTCTGCCTTCTTTGGACTGCGATAAGACAATGACCTGAGGCACTGTCCTGTAACCGACACAGATGTCTCAAGACATCATGGCCCAGTTGTACAAGTTGCTTGAGCTTAAGCACATGAGGGAACATTTTATGTGCTTTTCATAGCTACAATATGCAGCACGTTGATAAACGTTCCTGGTTTTGCCACATTTTTACCAGTATAACTGGTACTGCAATATTTTCAGCAATTTTCCCACCCATGCACTTGCTTTTTTACGCATGAACATTTGTGCAAGAAACCAATGATGATGAAACATCAATGAAACAGAGTCCTTGGCTCTGACTCACTAGAAGCCATACTGGCTGCACATCTTCCCTGCCACTTAGAGGTAACTTTGTTGCCATCAAAGATTATACCTCTCCAAAATGGTAGGCCTGCCTTATAACATAAACAATTTCTCATGTGAATGGAGTATAACACACGTCAAATTTTGAAGTGTGAGATATCCAGTTCGATCCCTGGAATTGCTGTGAGTATGTTGTTCCTTTTTTCTGATTTTGGCTCAAGAGAAAACCTTTCNTGCCCACAATAATTCATCATTTTGTTTCCATTCACGGGTCCAGACGATAATTGTTATAAGGGAAAGGAAGGCTCCAACTTCATAAGTCTGGTTTCAACCCCCCCCCAAACATGGGAACACAATGCCAATATCATAGTGACCTGCTATTCTGCACAATGGCAAGAGCATGATGGATGTCAGTACAAAATATCCTAAGGATAAATGCACGCTTTACCCAGTGATACCTGCATGGGTTATTCACTGATGATTATGAATGAGGTCTCAATTCATGCAAAAAACATGCTGGACTTGTGTAATTTGGAGACAAGGGTGCACTTTCAAGAGACACAATATCCATGCAGTTTGAAGCAATTTCGCCACACAGGACTTGTGTTTTTAGTGCTTGTGTGAAAGGACATTTAACCACTTCCTGCGGGGACTCCGGAATCGGAGATGTATGGTTTATATGTGTGGCTGGGGTCTCCGAACTCGGACAAAGAAAACAGGGCCCTGTAACAAAAGACCATACTCTGAACAAAAGACCAGGCTGCTGGGAATTATCGATGGTGATAATCCAGCCTTGTTTTGAAACCGTATACCAGGGTTTGGGGCATTGAGAGCGAGCGGATTACCACCGGGGACAAAAGCGCTCCACCACCGCAGCGAAGAGCCACACAGCACCGCTGCACGCTAATCTGGCCCCTACTGAAAAGAGGTCAGCAGTGCACTGAGCCACGTTCGTGAAAAAAGCAAGTTACATAACACTGCACAATCTCGGCTCTTTTTACAAGGCTGCAGGCCTGGCTGCCTAAAGATTACTTCGTGCGGCTATAAACGACCATTAAATGAAATGATGAATTTTGAAGGATTTTGAAAATGGAAAAAATGATAGTCATGCCAGCCCAGCATCATCAACATTGAAAAATGCCCCGGCATGAAGTGGTTAATCAGTTTTTAAAAGAGATGAATGAAGATAAAATGTGACCAAAATTACAAGACTCAAGCGATGGCGAGCACCCCATATCAGCACCCTCCACATCGGAAGCACCATCACACTGATTAGGCTACTGGGTTGCATTCCCAGGGCAGGCTTCAGGTAACCTGACAATTCCCAAAGATTACTGTTGTATCAACCTAGAAAAACACAAGTGAAAAGAAGCAAATGTCAGATGCTAGGAAGGTAATGAAACAAGGCTACTGCTGTGGCTGTTTAATGCAGTGTGTCAATGGCAAGAATGAAAGCCATAGCCACTCAGCATTTGATTCTGACACAAGCTAAGACTTACCCTTTTCATACAGGATTGTCTCAGTCCAAACGCTGCATAGTATCTTTGATAAGTGACAATAGATTGCCTTTGATAAAACCTTGACCCAAAAATATGTAAGATTTGCTTAATTTTCTTTATGACTGGGAGAATGTGGCTCAAAATTCATAGCATCAGGTCCTTTTATTTTCCTTTCAAACAAATATTGACTGCTTTGAATGGTGCATTATAACTAACCTCTCCTGGTGATCCATCGAACATTTGATTTTCCTGAAGCAAAGCCGAGGAAAACTAGAAAATTCCACAGATCACCAAGAGAGACTAGTTTCTAACACCTCTCCCACAGATTCTCTTGGATGTAATTGATAACTGATTTATTTGATCAATACACAAATAAAAACGATATCAATTTGAAAAAACAATTAGTTGAAAATCTACCAACACTTTTCCAAACTACCTCTTCACAAAATAGTTCAACCAAACTCTTGTTGTGCACGGTCTTTGGGATGCACATAATAAGCAGTGCGCACCTCGATATGAACTGGCACACAATGCCACTGGCAATGAGTATAGTTCTTTGGTAACTGTGGGTATAGCACCTTGGTTGAATCAGGTAGACTTCTTTTGGACTGAAGAAGGCCAGATATAGATAGCAATAAAGTGAAAGCCATGTGACTGGTTCTTGGCCAATCAAGATAGAGAATCTGTGGAGGGTTTTGTCCAACCTTCTGATCGTGTCCATCATAGCAAGCATCACCAATTTTTCTCTGCTCAAGTTAGTTCAATATCTATGCTGTGCTTGTCAAAACCACTTCAGGTCAAGGATGACACATATTCGGTTCAAACTATAGAAAAAAGGTAAAGCATATGTATCAATGACACTACTCAGTTCAACTTACAGCTGAACTACTGTAGTTGTCAATGTCAGAAAATTCCTTGGCCCTTTAAAAAAAAGTGCATGATCATTAGTTGTTAGCAAGTAAACTTGATACATGGAACTGAGCCAAAAAGAACATGAGAGGCTTACATTATCTCACAAACTTTGGGAAATGGAAATGTTTTTAGGGTGAGCAAAAAATTCAAATTCTTTGAATACTAAATATTTTCTTTGAGACTGAAATAATTTCAACAGGAGTTTACATTCAGTCACATTGATATTTTGTAAATTCACCATGCAAGGTACTTTGAAAAGGCTGACTTAAAAATAGACTGACAGAAAATTCTGAAGTACAGTCTAAAATTTTTTCAATAAATAAACAATGAAACTCACAAAAAGAACAACAGATCTTCATACCAAGAGTTACAGTCAGAGGTGGTGTCTTGACAACATCCTTGATAACTGCGCATACATCCGGAACCAGCCTAATCTCCTAGAATCAAAGAAGAAGTGAACAAAAAAATTTAGTATTCGGGAAAAAGGATCAGTTTCCAATAATAATAATAAAAATTTCAGTATTCTAATAATCTTTTGACGTCCAACCACTTCCCCTGCAGAAAGTCTGCACAATATGGAGCACCATTGCTGAGTCCAAGGACTTGTCTTTGGTGTTCTGTGACGTGCATAATTATGTGGACACTGTGCTTTGATTGTTACTGGATTAAATATTCAAAAAAGCCTCTCTGAGTGTGCCAAATGCAGGCTCTTCACTACTGAATAAATCACGGGTAATATGTGTGATTTTTCGGATGTATTGTTGGGTGCTCGATTATAAGTGAAAAGTGGAATTAACCAATCTGCAACGTAGGCTCCATACAGTAAAAACAAATCACCTAGTTCCCCAAACCTCTCACAAACCCAGTATCCAAGCATTAAATTTGATATGATTCACTCGGACTTCAAGCATTATCCTTACCATACCCATGAAACTGATGATCAGTTCTTTCAAGGAGCTGCCCTGGAAGAGACAGTGAGATCACTCGTCCATGAAGTCCAAGGCATGCTGTGAAACGTACTGTACAGTCGTGGGTGAGTTTCTGTCCAAACAAAAAAATTCCAATAAGCTTCTTGTCATGGATTGCATCTCACGGACCAAATAAAAGCACAGGCGCAATGAACCTGAATAATCTTCCAACTACTTTTTACAGCTCATTACAACTAAATATTAAGACAAAACCTTACACATTTTACCAATGCAACTTTCAACCGTGTTCAAGTTTGTTTTTTTTGTAAATTTTGTGAGAAGCTGTTGCAAAGTCCATCAAAAACAATAAATGAATCAAGACGTTTAGACTGACATAACTCAACAGCACTTTGATTTTGGCTATGTGTCACATACACCCTTCTTAAGCTCTTTACCACTTGTGGACTGTATAATTTCAGCCAAAAATTTTGACTTTTGAAAAAAAGACAAGATTTAGCGGCCTACATGTACTTTCGATATACATTTATATGTACAGCTAAAGTCGTTGTTGACTTAAGAGTCCTTAGAATAATACAGAGCAACATCACGAGAATGAACACAATAAAACAATATAACAGCATTCATGCAAAATTCCCTGAAGCGATTACCAGTTGCCCACAAATCCATTCCCCGCCCGGCCCACGCAAATGGGGGGCAACCTGCCTCACAATCTTTTCTGAATGACGATTTGGGACAAACATTTCCAATGCAAAAACTCAAGTTATGGTGAAAAGAGGTAACACTGAAATATGTGGATTTTCTTCAAGGTATGATCATCTTTCATATCTCACCTTTAGGGTAGTTTTCAGTTGAAGTCAAATCCCCCAAATGAAAAAAGGTTGGCAAGTTTTCCTTCAGTCATTTCTTCAGTCATGCTAGTATCCCTTTCTAACATGAAGCTTTAATGGATGTGTTGAGAACTATCAATTGAAAGCAAACAAAAACTATGTAATGAAGATTTCTGTAAGATAAGTGGCAAAAATTAATCTACTGGCATACGTACTTTCCACTTTGATTTTTTTACAAGGTAAAAAACTTTACCTTTGTAGTGATAACCAGCAAGCGTTTCCACATCAGCACTGCCCGTACTGCCTCCAGGTACTCGGTGGCTGGTCTACAACAGCCATCCGTTCACGCATTACACATGTGCCCATGAACGATGCAGACCGTGCTGACAGTAGTTCCTCTGAAAGTAAAAATGTCCTTAACTTTCAAGTCATTATTATTCGTCCTCGACATGTTTCTTTTATGTAAAACAAAGTTTCCATGTTTGGTAAATGTACACAAAAAATTCAGGCGCCAAGGAGTATATGTTCAGTATACCCGACTGTTATAGCAGTGTTCATTATACATGTACATGTACTGTACCAACACTGAACTGTATATTTCTTCCTGCAACCTTGTATTCTTCAACACTCAGACACACAACCAAGACGCAATATTTGCAACCAAAAGAGGCCAACAACAGTGGCTAAATGCAAGTTCAACATACACTCTACCTCCACACACTTCTCAGACTTTGTGCGCAGGCACAGATAAAACGTCAGCCAGAGTCGATGAGACGGGGCAAGCGCTGTGGCTTATCCCGTCAGATATGTCTACACATACAGATAGCCTGATCATATTTTCATATTGTCCTCTTACGTGAAGAGATTCAAGACAGTCTGTGTATTTGCACATCCAATCATTTACAGGACAATCTGCAATGCCATTATCCAAGACTTCAGGACATTCAAGCAGAAGACGTAGCCATTGACATCTTTACCTTATGTAGGTCGCTCTGATGCAGCCATTAGGGTAGACGCAGGAGAAACTCAAGTTCTTATCCATGAGGCATGTTCCAGCATTCTGTCAGGGTTGTGCTACACTTACCATGCTGTGGTGAAGGAACACAAGATAATGTGTATTTGAATAGACTCAAGGACTCAAGCACACATTAAATAAAATGTATAAAGAATAAGTCTGAAAAGATAATCTAGTTCATGCCTGAAATGATGGGAGTGTGGAAATGGCTTAGATTATATGAATACACATATGATCCCTCAACTTTTTGTTGTAAACCTCCAATGAATTTTCATTCGGTGTGATCTATGAGATCTTTCAAGATGCTGAAAGTGTTGGTATTTTCGAAATACGTGTACATTCAAGATCATACAAGAAGTCAAAGCTTGTACTGGGTCTGCCCACAGCAAAAAGAGGAAGTTTATTTTATACAAATCATGATTAAGTGAATAGGAATGTTTATACTAAAGAGAGGAGGTTAAAATACAAAATTAATGAATTTGTAATCTGACAAAATCAATAAATTACAGTGATTTTTAAAAGTGTTGTCGACAACTTAGCTCCACAGTTACATCCTCGTAATTACCAGTAACATCAACTACATACATGTAGAACAGTAGGTTTTATTATTCCTTTTGCAAGTTATACTTGACGTCAGTGGACAGAATGATCAACTTTAGTTCTATAGTATGATAGGGGTCCCTGGTATCTACAATCCCGGACAGACTTGTTGGGACACTTGGTAATAGCCATACGCTCTCCAGCCCCCTCCCCAACTCCCCCCGGTCAATGTTGTCCAGCAGGAGTGCAAACTGTGCGCACAGACCCAACATTGAACAGGGGGTCTGGAGGCCTAACGAGATTTGTCCAGGATTGTAGCAGTAGATGATGTGGCAAACTTGTAACTTTGTTGAGATGAAACTTGTTTGATGACCTAGTGCAGTGCTTGCTTAGTTAACCACCAAAAAGCCTAATATACTACGAAAACTACTATGTTTGATTGCTAGATGATAAGCAGAGGTCAGTATACGGTGCTCAAACTCACGGTCTTGAACAAAAAAATCAGGCTGTGTGCATCATGTGTGGTGATGTAACTGCGCACGCACAGAAAGTTTTATTCTACTAATCTTGATTCCAGTCATCCTAAATCTGACAGAATATTACTGCAGAGTTTTAAATCACTCCAAGATACAATGCATTATTCTGGGCAGGCACACGGTTTGTTGCCATGTAGCTTGGAGTGCAGGCGCGTGACCACCTGACTCTTTGCTGGTTGGCTGAAGGCCGATGAAAGTCAAAGCTACAGTGTTAGTATTTACACGCAAGAAAAAGGTTATACATTGTTAGAATTCTGCATTAAAATTAAAAAAACAAACTTTACCGTCCCATAATTCAATATTCCATAATCCGATCTTAACCAAACTTTGCATGTTTTCCTTTCAGACCCTAATTTATCATCACTAAAAATGTGGACGGAACAAATTTTCCTCCTTTTGATAGTTGGAGCATTAGGGGGACATTGAAATGTCTCCCTAATGACCGATGTCTCCCTAATGTTGAAAAATTTACCATAAAATGTCTCCCAAGTGACCTATTTGGAAATATAATACTAAAAGGTAAGTAACATTATAGGCCTAAGTATTTTACTTACTTGTAGGCCCTGCCCCTAATCTGAGCATGTCAGGAAGCTTTTTTTAAAACAATTTTGGAGGCCTTGCAGTTACAGCGGGATAATTCTAGCCAAATTAAAGGTACTCACTCGAACGAATTTAAACACATCAAGTGTAGGCCAAACCAAACAGTAAAAAAATAACATGAATAAATTCAAAACTAAATAATAATAAAAAAGAATAATTTCCAAAAATGAGTCACTTGGGAGACATTCCCTTAAGAACGTGCACAAACTTTACAGTCCCATAATTCAATATTCCCTAATCTAATCTGAACCAAACTTTGTATGTTTTCAATTTAGACCCTAATCTATCATCTCTCAAAATTTGGACGGTGAAATTGGGCCTCCTTCTGGTAGATGGGGCAAAAACCAAAACAAATACGAATTCGGGAAATGGGCTCAACTGTTTATTTATCTGCCCGTTCCAATCATTCAGTTCTATCCAGCAAGGCTTGTCCTAAGTACCAACCTGGCTGTTTTGCTTTATCCAACATTTGTCATAATCATACCCTTTAACCCTAACCCTCCTCAATCCTCCAACAGGTGAAGGATTGAGGAGGGTTAGGGTTAATCATAAGTGATTCTTTGAACGAATATGTCAATACTGAGGACTACGAAATATTTATTGCATGCGTTACAGCCGTCAGATCGCCACGTCTCATAGTATCATTCATGCTATGGATGAGGCCTTAGGCCTAAACATCTACTTCTGGACTGCCTCCTGATACTTCTCCAAACGAAAAGCACCTTGGTTTTCATTTGCCACATTAGTTTCACAACGCCAACCCTGGCTATCTTATTTCGTTTGCACTGTTGGATATAAATAGCATTTTTGGAATTTCATGATAGCGGGCTCTGGGCATCTGCAGCCTTTATGTCACTTTATTTGGATTCTCTTTTTTTTGATGAATTCAATGGAGCATCACAGCCTACTTATGAGCACTTTAAGGTTCGTGTGCAGCTCGAAGTAGGCTCTCGGAGGCAATGTCCGAATTAAGACCCTTGTCATACCAGAATTCCGTGTCTGAGTTGGAGAATGATGCGACAGTAGCAAATCTGTGTGCCATGGGATTAGTCAGTCACCCTCAAGCAATATGGAAAAAACCTCTGATATAAAAAAATACACACACAAACACAAACACAAAAAAGGAAACTTGTTGATTTCACTCAACGTTGTCTGTCATGCCATCACTCAAGGAAGAACGTTTCACGTGAATGTGTGAGGTTCATGAAACAGACTTTGGACGCACGCAGCAAGGAATGAGACGTTCCTAGCCAAAGCTCACCTATTTGCACAATTATATCATCATAACGTCAAAGTCACTTGTTCAAAAAGTTGCTTGTAGAGAGATTTAAGGTCCATTTTCCCTTTGGGTTTATTATGATCTTAGTTTTATACAAATTGAAGTGCTTTGCTTATCTATTTTCAAATAATCTCGGGTGCGCCGTATTTTTTTGCTGGGTAGCCGAAAATTGTCAATTTTAATGGCTTCTTATATTTTCAAGATGTATTTTTGCGTTGGGAGATGTTAATTTATATAACGGGTTTTGCCCTTACCCACCATATATACCGGGTATTAGTAAACACTGTATGCTCAGTGCTTGTCCGAGAGCTTACAAAAAAAGTCACAAGCTTACTCGGGTGGGACTCGAACCCACGACCTCCTGCTTACTAGTGCAGACGTCTTAACCACTCGACCACCAAGCTTGCCGGGGATCGGCTGGCCAGTCCGAGTCAGATGAAGCAGCGGGTACCGCGAACTATTTTCAAGATGTATTTTTGCGTTGGGGAGATGTAAATGGCTTCTTATAGTTATGAAAGGTAGTCCTGAATTTAAGAACTCTCCAAGTTACAGGAACAGTGGTTCCCATGGATAACAAGTTGGTTTCACAAGTTTCTTCTGTTGCGACAATTATTGTCAGTGGGAACTTTTCTCTGTCATTTCACACTTGGCAAGGCCCATCCTAGAACCCATATTGTCTTGTATGCGGTAAATGGCTTGCTAGCGTGCCAATAATTTGGGGAGTCAGGTTAGTGTGGTAGCTCTTTCCTTGCCTTCCACCTCCGCGACCCGAGTCCGAATCCCACCTAGGTCAGCATGTGGATTGAGTTTTCATTTCCTGACACCTTGGGTTTTCTATGGTATTAATTCTCAGTTTTCCACCCACCGCTAAAGCCGACCATTTCTTTCTTGTCTTTTTACTTATCACTTCACCTTCTATAAATGAGCTGTAATGTTTGACATTTAGCAGGATTCAAGGAAAACCCACAACTCTTCGATAACTCTTGATATATAAGATATCAAAATCATGTTGTATATTACCACTCTCACTGAACAAACAATTTTCCCCCAAGGCCAACTCATCGACATATTTCCAACATCTATTATGACTGGAATCAAGTGCGCTATTTATGCAAATAAAAAAATCACCGGGCCAAGTTTAGTACCTTGGGGAACACCCCCAGACAAGGTCTGCCAGTCAGAAAAGGACTGTTTATATCTGACCCTCTGTTGACGTTCTGTAAGAAAATCAGCAATCCATTTGACAACCGATGGGGAAACTCCAAGCTTAATAAGTTTGTTTATGGCTATCATGTGGTCTATTGTATCAAATGCTTTGCTGAAGTCAGTTAATATTAACGTGCCAATGTTACCTGGTCTATTTGCACCAGAGACTAAATGATGATGGATATCAATAATACAGTGAGTGCTGGACATACCTTTTCGATTGCTAAAATGTCTGAAGTTCAATTTAGAATTAATTGAGTTGATAACCCATTTGCTTTCAGCAACCTTTGCAAGCAGAGGAGAGAGAGAGATTGGTCTGAATTTCTGCAAGGTGGGTGGTTGAACTTTCGGTATCGGAACAACATTAGTCTGCTTCAATTGGAATGGGACAACACCCTGCTTAAATGACGAATTTAAGATATTAGAAACTGGAATACTAAATTCATAAGCAAAGTCTTAAAGGATTTTCGCAGGCAGGTTGTCTGGACTGCCATTTTTACTCGCTGAAATCTTCCTAAGTTCTTTATAAATCTCCCACGGATAGATTTCAGGAGGGTCTGACATACTATGCCAATAGGCAAGTAAATTGTTCAAATTAATAGGCTCATGGGTTTGAGAAAAGTTGGCAAGATAATTATTAATGACGTTAGCAATGAGTTTAGTATTACATGAATCAATACCATCGATGTCAATAGATAAATCAATAGTCTTCATGTTAACTACATGTAGGTTACAAATTTCTTTGTGCCATCTTCAATTTTCTTTAATTTACGTACTCGACCAGCATAGTACAGCTGCTTAGCAGATCTAATTTGACAAGTAACCTGGTTTCTGAGGATATGATATCTGACTCTATCTCCATTTTTGAATGCTTTTTGTCTGCACAGTATTATTTTCTTAATTTGATCATTA